GAAAGGCTTAATATAATAATATAGTAAGCACCTTTGTTTTTGTAGTTACTTTGTTATCATTAAATCAATTTGTTATGCAGATGTTAAGAATTGAGTGATATAAAAAATTAGAGGTATATAGTCCAGACAACAGGAGAGTGTCTTAGCTTTTGTTACAAGTGTGTCAATGGATCTCAAATTATGGCTTATGCAAGAAAAAAAAAAATTTAGAATGTATTGGACTCCATTACATATTGATGTAAAAGGACTGTCAAAAACAGCACTTTATTGGAGATATTTTAAGGATCATGCTTCTTTAAAACATGTATTTTTACAATGTATTCTATTTAACAAGTTTTGGAAGAAAGTAGTCGACTGTGCGACAGAAGCTAAAATTCTCAGGATAATATTTTCTTGAACTGCCTACCTAATACATGGAATTTGACAACTGGATAGTGTAAATGGATTCTCCATGGTCAAAAAACTGAAACTGCAGCACTGGAAAAATAAATTTATGCCTCCCCTTCATTCAATGATAACCTGATTGCACTTGCCACGTAGGAGCTTATGACATTTATGTTTCTTGACATATTATTTCATTTTATTATATAACATTTTTATGTTTTTTTCCTACTCTTTGACAATGAATGTATCATTATCACTATTAGCTTTGTGTTTTGCCTTTTTCTTTTTACTAATTAAAAAGCAATACAAATAAATCTAAAATGTTGTATATTACCTAATAAACTCACTAAAGAGTCTGATTCAGCCCATTTCAAAGTTCTCTAAATGCAATGTTTTCTAGATTCTTCTTTTGCCAAATGATAATGGCTTAATTATATTGATTTATCCCTGGAATCATCTGCCTTCTACCATGAATTAGAAACCCCCTAGATTTCAAGCATCAATAACTTCTCAAAGGGGTGCCAAATATTTTGAATTCTGAACAGGTCATTTTGGTAAGGAGTAAGGGAGTAAGTAAGAATTAAGAAGAGCCCATTTTCAACTCAAAAGGGGTTGATTTGGAAACACTTTCACAGCTACCATAAAGGAGAATATTTGTAGCTCAGGGCTGCACTGATGACTTTATCTAGTTTGGAGAATGAAACATCTGCAAGAAAACAACCAAGCTCAGAGTTGTTTCAAACTTTCACAGTTTCGCTCCACATGCAACTATTGATGAGCTGTTCTGAAGGTGAGGCCCAACTTCAGAACAATGCCACTACAGAAGACTCTCGGTCCCTGAAAAGTGTGGAACACCTACCTGAAATATATCTGGAAGTTTTCGAAGTCTTGTGCCTTTAGATAATAACAGGGATGGAGGCCCCTGTCCAGTTATGTGATAAATATAGAGCTTGAACCATACAGAGCTAACTTCTGGAATAGCGGGCCCAATATGCTGTGAAAAGATAAAAAAAGTCAGAATGAAAGCACACAGGGAAGCTAATTCTGCTCAGTAAGAAAAACAAAGCCACTTCCCATTAGCATTTGCAGTGGTCCTCAGAAAATTTTAGTTTTTTTAAAAAAATGTTAATTATAAGATAAAAATACAAAAAAGAAAAGTTAGAAAGGGGAGGGAGGGAGGGAGAAGGAAGGAAAGAAGGAAGGAAGGAAGGAAAGATGTAGAGAGAGAAAAAACAAAAAGAAGTGACTTCCAACATTTTTCAGTGCAGTAGAATACAAAAAAGTTACAACCTCAACCTTATGCTTTACATTTCTAAACATTTCAAGCCATTTCTATAACAACAAAACCATTCTAATAATCAACACCTAAAATCAAAGTTTCATATTTGTTTTTCAATTCAAAGCAAAAAAACCAGAAGTGGTTTCCAAATAGAAACTTGGTAGATTCTTCTCTTGGATTAAAACAGTCAATTTCACCATCTCTTGACAACTGCATCACCTTTAACATCCATTCTTCCATCATGAGAATTAGTTCTACATTCTAACTGTTTTATTTTCAGGATGACTCTTGGAACTGTTATCTATTAAAGAACATAAAATATGCTCTTTTTGAAAAAAATATTAGACACTACTTGTGTATTTATTATGAGAGACCTTTTAGTATCTCTTGGGTGAATTTTTTTTTCTGCTTGGAAACCCTAATCAGATTTTTTTAAGTGTGCATGTTTTTTAAAAATAGAAACAATCGTAGACCTTTATAAATGGCTATGAATAGTTGTGGAGGATTTTTTAAAAAAAGGCAGGATAGGTACATAATAAAAAAATGGCAAGGTCAAGCTACAAGTACAGCACAACACAACGCTACGTAGGTTTCACGAAACTCTGAACAGGTTGAGAAACAAAACACTTTTCAAATTTAGGTAGCATTGTGCTGTGCTGTGTTTGTAACTTGACCTTGCCATTTTTCTATATTATGTATTTATTTAAAGGATCTTGCTTACCTGGGGGGTGCAGCTGCTGGTAGGTCGAATTTCATTGGTGAGGGGTGCCATGGAGACAAGCAGTGTGTAGTTTTTGTTCAAAACTCTACTGCAGGTGGCAGGATCCAAGCCAAGCAAGCTTTCACAGCGTAGTAAATCCAGAGGGAAACCTACATTAACAATGTCAAAGACACTTGGAATACAGATAGCAAACGAACATATATACAAGTGAAAGGGGCAGAGGAAAAGGGGAAGGAAAAATATAGATTTAGATGGTCTCTCTTCCTCGGGATTTAAGTACTTGTTTTTTTTTTAAAGAACACCCCTAGGGAGGTTTGAAATGGGTAAGGAGATTTCTTGGTGAACAGACTGCAGGTAATCCTCGACTTACGACCACAACTGAGCCCCCAAATTTCTGTTGCTCAGTGAGACATTTATTAAGTGAAATTTGCCCCATTTTACGACCATTCCTGCCACAGTTAAGTGAACCACTGCACTTGTTAAATTAGCGACAGTTGTTAAGTGAATCTGGCTTCCCCATTGAGTTTGCTTGTCAGAAGTTGGCAAAAGGTGATCACATGATCCCGGGACACTAAAACTGAATGTGAATCTGTTGGCAAGCATCTGAATTTTGATCATGTGATCATGGGGAATCCTGCAATGGATATGTGTGAAAAACGATCATAAGTCACTTTTTTTTCAATGCTGTTGTAACTTTGAACTGTCACTAAATGAACTGTTGTAAGTCGAGGACTCCCTGTCTAAATTCTTAGGCCCTTTTTTGCTTTCCCAAAAGTGCTTGAGAAGTTTATTATCATTATTTCTCGTTGTATAAAACATTTTCAATTTCCTTTTATGAAAAGAAGGGGGAGGCAGGGTTAAGTATAAAAAGCAACACTTAACGAAAACATCTGTGGCTAAGGAAAACACAGCACCCCGCCCACACACACACACTAAATAACAGATATCATAATAGTTCCTACATTAATCTGAACACATTTTGAACAATTAGTTGTTTATGAAGGAAGATGCCAGCATATAGTTTTTAGCTCCTATAGCAGGGTATCTTAACATTAGCAACTTTAAGATGTTTGGACTTCAATTCCCAGCATGGCTGGGTGGGGAATTCTGGGAGTTGAAGTCCACACATCTTAAAAGTTGCTATGGTTTAAAAAAGCTGACCCATAGACTGAGCACTAAACTGCAAGGGAGTAATAACAGTAGTTATTTCTATCAACACAGTATGGTTTGGCTTATTTTCTCTAATAGTAGAGAGGTACCCTCATTGTGGGATAGCCTCACAGAGGGAACAAGACCACATAATTTCCATTTGAACAACACATTCACGGAATAATAAATGTTGCCAAGAAACAAGTAGAAATTAAAATGGGATTTTTATACCTCCCAATATTTTGAGGAGTTGACTATTATTGCTATTGAAAATCTCATTTTCAGATAGGAATAGACTGATATGCTGTTTTAATAATGGGCTCCATTCCTGTATCATAAATTGTTTCGTATTGCTCTGGTACATTTCCCCCCCAATAAAATATGGATAATTCGCTGCTCAGTAAATGGCAACAACTTGGGTACGCAGTGTTTGGGATTCTTAAATAATTGTCCTATGATTCAGTTCTCTGATTTATGGATGCAGATATTTTTTTTAAGGAAAAAATAATATTTTTTAAAATACTCTCTGTCCTTGAGGAACACCCATCGTCACCACTAAGGAAAAGGCCAGTGATTTATGCCCTTTTTTTTGTCTGGAACAGTTCAAGTCTATTTTGTCCTACTTTTAAGTTCAAAAATGTATAAAGGAAATACTTTTGGCAGGGCAAATTTGAGGAACTTTGAGGAAGTTTGCATCTGGTCTGTAGATTGGTCTCTTCAGTAGTAACTAAAGAAAGGCCACATGTCTCTTCTTTTTAAATAGAACATCAGAATTTTGTGGACCAAGTTCCTTGGTTTTCTTAAAGCAAAGAGTCCATCATCTTCTTTGTAATTTAAGAAACTGGTAAGACAGTCAAAACTCAAAAATTAAATCCCTAAGACACATTATGTTTTTCGAGAAGCATAAATGAACTGTGTAAAACCCACTGTGTAATCAACTGGATACTACATAAACAGGTTTTTTTTTAACCCAATGTTGTGGATACAGCAACAGCTGAAGCCTTGTTTAAGCAATCCTTTAGCCTGAAATAACAATTCACTATGTTTTTCCCCTTCTTCAATTAATATAAGAAATTTTATTTACCAATGACACTAACTGGAAGTGGGCAGTTTATATTCATGTCTTGCATCAACTTATTTCTACGAACAGTTTTTAACTGTACCCTTTCCTAGACTTTTCATTAGATCAGCTAGATCTAGGACATTACGTATAAAAGAAGAAAAGGGCAAATAAAACAATATCCTTACTAAAAAGAAATTAATTAAACTTACTAAAAAGAAATTAATTAAACAGACATAAAAAATATCCAGCCTTTGGGCTCTCATGTGTGCTTGGTAGATAACTGTCTTGGCATCCTCAATGTTCATGTTCATACTGATTGTTTAAAAGATTATTCTACTTTTTTCAAAGAAAGAAGTCAAGATTATCTAGACCCATACCAGTCGGGCTTCAGGCCGGGACACAGGACGGAAACGGCATTGGTCACGTTGGTAAATGATCTCTGGAGGGCCCGGGACAGGGGTTATTCCTCTGTCCTTGTACTTTTGGACCTCTCAGCGGCTTTTGATACTGTGGACCATGGTATCATGCTGCGGCGTCTCGGTGAGTTAGGAGTGGGAGGCACTGTTATGCAGTGGTTCTCCTCCTTCCTCACCGACCG